ATATATATATATATTTCAGTCATTTACATGTTGGAAAATTACCTGATGTTCCTATATAATGTTTTTTTTTTGTTTGTATTCAATTTGTGAGGCCCACAAATTACATGCGCATTGACAATTTACAACAAAGATAGTAAATATGATAAAGTAAGAAAGGGTTTCTGTTTCAATTACAGACACAACACTGACACAGATATATTGTTTCCACCTCTCCAAGCTATTTGGTCACCACTCAATGAAGAAGCCTTTATCATTGTTCCTTGAATTATCTGTATTAAATTCAAGTGTGTGATATAAACGGATAAATTTTATCATGGGAAAGCAATTTGGAAATATTTGTTATATTAATTCCTTCCATCCAATAGAACCTATTGCAGTTGGAGGATTATTATGGAAAAGTTAATCTCTTTATGTAACATTTAAAAGTTTTGACTAGTATTTTTTTTTTACTTTTCTGATAAATATGTTAATAATCACTATCAATTTCCTGTTGGTTCATAAGAAACAAAAACTTGTCTCTTTTAGGAATGTTTGAAGTTTATATGTACAAAATATGTAATTTTATTTTGACAATAAGCACTTAGTATTTTGTCAGGTTTTGTTTTAGACCCAAGTAATAGAACTGTACTTTACGTTATTTTTAAATGTGATTAAGGGATATAGGAGTCTTTGAAAAAGTATGAAAAAAAATGTAGATTTTCTTTTCTGTTAATATTTTCAGTACTTAGGTATATTCTAAAAGATTGAACATTTGTATTCTGTCATGTTTGCATTGCATTCAAAGTCATTTTTCATTTTAGTTGTATAAAAATGATCTTTAAACTAAACTTGTAAAAATTGAAAAATTACCTTTAATAAATGATTATTTGTCCCTCTCTGTTAGAACTAACTTTCATAAATTCTTTTGTGTATCATAGATGCTGCTGTTAAAAACAGTTGTTCATTTTTTTTTATTTTTTTTTTTATAAGTGTTTGTCCAACCACCTAAACTTTAGAATGAGTTGCTAATCATAAGGCTGAAACTTGAAATGGACTGCTCCTGCCTTGTTTTTTGAGTGAATTGTGTCTGTATTAAAATAAATCTACATACAACATTTAGCTTATATATACATAAGTGTGAACTAAATGCTGTTAATAAAAAAAAAAAAATGTGATTAAAGATGTTTTTATTTTCTTATTTAAAAGCTATTAGTTTTACATTCGAGTGCACAGATAGTGACATACAACCTGTAGTGATTGAATAAGTTCTAATTGCCATAAAATGTTTACCTTTATGTTTTGGATTGGCTAAAAGAATTTTAGCTTTGCAAAGCAAAATGTTAGGGAAAAAGGCATATTCCTTAAAAATGTATAAAAGTTGTATTCGGCTGCAGGATTTATGTGTATTGTAATAAACTGTAATTGTTTTACTGCTTCTTTGATTAAAGGAGGAATTGATTGATGAGGTTATAAGAAAATTTACTTATAATCTTTAAAATAAACAGAAATTCATATAATTAGTTTATTTAAAACTTTAACTCAACATTAAAAGTGTTTATTAAGATATGATACAAACTAATACTTTAATAAAATTTCCGATACAGTACATTACCTCCCCTCACATAAATAGCTATTATCGTTCAGTGCTGCCCTCTATAGGAAAAAACATTTTATGCATGCTACAAGCCTTTTATCTTCCCACCATTGGAATTGACTGATTCCAATGCGTCACTCATACTAATCATCATGTGTCAACTCTCCACCAATAAGAGTGCGACATACTTTTATGATGGATGTGACTCCTTCTATTCAATTCTGTTGAATTATCACTTCTTGTTTGGCAGTACTCCTGCTCAGTAATTTTTTTTTTTTTTGGGTGCTCTTCCTGTTCGTGATTTTAATAGTTTCATTTATAAAGTGGGATTTCTTCATTACCTCTTTTTTTCCTTACATTGAAGAAATCTTTTACTTTAACTTAATTTCCCAGTCTTTTTTTTTTTTTTTATTCTCACAGTCACATATTTTACATCAAACACTTTATTGTTTGGTTTATGTATTTTTACAATGAATACTTAAGTTCATGTTCCCACTTTGGGTATCATATTTTTAGCAATATTTCGCAGGCTGCAGGTGGGGGAGACCCTTCATTGGATTTCTCTGCTATTATCTGCCATGAGATTGATCATTATATGTGTCAACCTCCTCCTTCTGAACTTGCCACACTAATCCTCCTGAACA